ACCTTCACTTTCCCTTATTGTAGCACTTATAGTTTTTTTTTTAAGACATTATTTTACACTTATAAGGCTTGCGATGTGTTCAGTAATTTGTAGCAGTTCAGACATTGTGCTTTTGAGTGATACCATAGCTCAGTTTTGACCGTTTTATATACCTGGATCTTTCTTCAGTGAAGATTTGGTCTTCCATTTCAAAATACCTTGTGTTTACTATAAAGAAGGGATTCCTTTAACTTGGAAAATCTTAGGAGAAAAACAAAAACCTAGCAATCATGGAGCACTCTGATGTGTCAGGCATAAAACCGGGTATTTTTCATGTGCTACCACATAATCTAAAGTGGCAAATAGACGAGATGACGGCAGTGTTACAAAATAATAGGAAAGCACTATATTAGTAATACAGAAATTTCAGATATTTCTATTTTACTGTTTTAAACAGGCTTGGAAAGGTTAGGTCATAGTAGAACAAAGATTCCCTTCAGACAGAATTTCAGATTTCATGCGGTATCAATTATATTATGCAGCCTTGCCATAAAAACAACAAAAAGATTTGCAGGCAGTGACAGAAACCACACTGTGGAATGCCTGAGACAGTGATTTCAGTGAGGTAACTCCTGCCATTGTGACAGATGAATTAATGGTTGATGGGCTTAAAATTTTAATGGGGAAATGCTGTTAAATGTTGAGAAATATTGAGGGATCCCATGAAAGCCCTAATTTATATGTGCTTCCATATGTATTATAACACATACACTGTCCTAGTCCATTTTCTGTTGCTATAACAAAGTACCTGAGACTAGTTAGTTAATACAGAATAGAAGTCGATTTGACTCCTGTTTCTGGTGTCTGCAGAGTCCAATAGCATGGCACCAACCTGGTTCTTTTGGCATCTGATGAGGGATTCTTGCTACATCCTGACAGAGTGGGAAGCATCACACAGTGAGACAACAAATGTGCTGGCTCAGGCCCCTTTCTTTTATAAAGCCATGACTGCCCATCTTCTGGACTCATCTAATTCTAATTACCTGCCAAAGGCCCTTCTTCAAAATGTATCAACTTAGGAACTGAGTTTCCAACATATGAACTTTGGGGGTCACACTCAAATCACGGCAGTTACATTCATCAAAACAAATAAATGCCATTTTCTTAATTTGTAAAAACTTCAATAATATTTTATTTATCAAACTGTTGTCAAACTTTATCTAATCTGCTAAAAACCTTTATCTCCATCTCCCTGATTTCAACAAGGTGTTTCGTTTTTCAAAAGAAAAATGAATACAAAAACATAAATTTTTATTGTATTCCACAAAATAGGCAAATGAAGATAATTTATTTTGCCTGTGTCTATGATTGTAATGATTTGGAATTATTTTACACTGCTTCCTTTTCTGGTTATAACATGTATAGCAAACCAGATGGCTAACATACAACCAATTTGACTTGTTTTCTTAAATCATTTAGTATAGCTCAGGAGATTGCCAGTACCCACAACCATCTGTTTATTGTTTTGTGTGTTACCTTCTTGCATAATTTAATCCTTTCAGTTTCATTACATGTTGTGGCCTCTACCTGCCTAATATATGAAAAAACTTTTAACACCTCACCTCTTACACTTTTTTTTCCTGGTACTGGGGATTAAACTCAGGACCTTGTGATTCTGAGGCAGGCGCTAAATCCCTGGCCCACCTGTTCTACTTCTTAAGGCTGTGTTGTAAGACCTTGATGATACCAGCCTGCCTTGTTTTTTTCTTAATTCACTCCCCCCATCCCATTATGGCTAGTTTCAAGAGTAATTCCTCAAAATTTACTAAAGAGAAAGTAGGAGCATAGATTTTGTACTTAGCTGTATATATAACTATTTAACCTTTGACAATTTCTTCCATTTATATTTCCTCACCTGTGAAATTAAATGTGAATGAGATAAAACAGAGCTCATTTAAGCACTATACTTAACTCACGCCCTAAATACTGATCACTATTCTTATGACTCACATATTTTAGAAAAAATCTTATATTGCACAAAAATGTATTGAAAAGCAAATACAAATACTGTTCATAGAATTTCATGAGTGTTTTGGAAGGAATATCGATTTTACTTTAAGTACCAGATTATTTATGTGAAAGTTTATACCACAACAGGAGATATGTAGTTGTACTGGATGGTTGTTTTGAGGTTCACTTTCAGCCTTCTCACTGGATCCTGGATAAAATTTTGAACCCCAGACGAGGGAAGTTTCCCTTGATACCTACCTGGATTCTTTCCTGTGATCCCTGGTTTTGTGTTACACTATGGCCTTTTTGGAACTTCAGGGTCACTTCTGTCATTGTTCCACATGGACTGAACCAGTCCACACACAGTTCTCTAGAAAAGGAGAAAGACCAAACCATGACACTCTAACCCATGTTCTAGTCACTACATAAAGTCCTTCCAGGAGCAGCCTTGTGGGTTAGGCCATTACTTAATTCCTAATTTTGTGCAGCTTACTATTTCTGAATCAAAAATCATCATTTTAAAAATACGAGTGTACTTAGGCCACCAGTGGAGCAGATGAATATGATTAATCTGAATTGTCTTGAAAATTCAGAGCACATGGTTGCTATAGTTACAATGTCATATGGTTATAACAGAGAGAGAGGTATTTTGTGAAGCATTAATCTTGTACACTGATCTAAATATCTGCTGATGGGATTCAAGTATTTCTCTCAGAGTGTGTGTGTGTATTGCTTCTGTATGAAAAAACAGGCTGGACAAGGTGCTTTGTTTTGATGGTAGTTCAAAGAAGCATCTACTCACAATTAAGTCATCTCTGTTTGAATAAATTCAGTGAGAAGTAACAGCAAAAACTGCTTGATTGATGCAAACGTCTTATTTCCAATTGCTTTAAAAGAAGTTTTAACTGAAGTGTATAGAAGAAATAATTTAAGGCTCATACTTTGGTTAGCAGAGTTAGAATTTCTATTTCAATTGGTCATAATATAATGTTCTGTAAACTTATATTTTACAGGTCATGTTTCTTTTCATTACTTGACCTATAAAATCACAAATTTATGGAACATTAAAATAGAAAATTTTATTCACACAGGAAAGATGCCTCACTTTATTCTTTTCCTTTGTTTGCAGTGTCTTTTGATTACAGAATTTATATTGTCTCTTAAAATGTCAAATAATACAAAGTATAAAATCGAGTCTTTTCTTCTCTCCTCAATATTCACAGCCTCAAAGAATAGCCACCATTTACAGTCAAGAGTCACCTGGCAACAGATGTTTTCTGTGCCCATACAAGCATACAGATGTCATCCTAGAAAGACTGATGAACACATTCTTGAAGAGTTATAACCATTGCTGTTTGGAAAAAAAATTTTTTTTAGTTTGATGATGTTAACTGTTACATTAAAGGGAGTGATTTTACAAACACTGACCAAGCAGTTTCTGGTAGGCCAGCTTTCCAAGTTACTGGTTTGAATCAATAGTATTTTATAATGGGTATAAAATTGAAGGCATTTAGTGACAGATTTTGCCCTTGATACTCTGTTTTGCAGTGTCCATGGAAAGAGTGCAGTATTCAGGAAAGGAAAGAAACATCCTGCGTCAGCTAGAGGAATAAAATGGAGTTAATTCTAAATTGACAATTTTAAGGCTTTACATTGTTGCAATCAAGAAATAATCCACGCAGTCTATATCATCTTGTTTCGCCTTCTTAGTAGTGGAATATCTTAGGTGATCCTTTAAACTATCTATATTTAAACTTCCAAAGTTGCTCATGGGGAATTCCTGCTGCTGGGAGATAGAGCATCTGTTGGTGTCCCATACAGCCTCAGTAGTTGATGGGGCCTAGGGAAGGTCTGTGAACGGCCAGTTCATTCTCCTTAGAGCAAATGTACACTTTTGCATGTCCTTTCTGCCCTGGTATGCTTGTCAGTGGGAAAAAAAATTGCACAGCAGGTACAGATTGAGCATTAAAGTGTCGAGAATTCTTCATGCAAAAATAATATTTGCAAATGAAAAATTTTAAATGGTATAACGTGTAAAAAAACACTGAGTCATTCTCAAAACCTTTGTGAAATAAGATAATATATAAATATATGAATGAAATCAAAAGGTGTTATTTCAGATAATACCTCTGAATGGTAAAATTAATATTATTTTATGACAAGAAATAATCATATTTCTTTTTTAGTTTAGACCTTTAAAATTTTTATTTTTAAAATTTTTATTTATTTTTTTTTTTTTACTTGTATAACATTTTCTCCTTAAAAACAATGTCCTACACTGTTGAACTGGAGCTTTAGTTTTACATATTTCAACTACATCTCTGGTCTCATGAAGCTCATGGTCTCTCTGAGAGACACATAACTTGGCCACTTTGGTGGACCCTGTAAAGACCTTAGTTGTGGAGCTCAGCTCATAAACCTCCCTCGTGTGTGGTGTGCACCTGGGAAGTCACCATCACAGATTTCTCTGAGGAGGTGATATCCAAGTGGTAGATGCAGAGAGCAGTGAGCAGAGAGTATCTGTAAAAGCCTGGCCACCCAAGGGGTGAGGCCACAGATGAGTGTGTGGTGGAAGTTTAGTCTGGGTGGAGCGTAGAGGAATTAGATATTTATTGTGAGAGTAATGCATGTTAGTTCGTGTTATAAAATTTGAAAAATACAGGAAATGAGAAAATATCACAAACTTTAAGCTGCAGATTTAACTAATGTGGACATTTTGCTGTTTTTGTCATGCCTTATATTTCCATTCGTAGGAAATATGTTTGGTGGGATCTTGGTATTCCCTATGCAATAGAGATGTATATAAACATAAAATTAATTCCTCTATATGAAAGCATATCTCAGATAATGTTGGGTGAAACATTTTTTCATGTTAAGATATATTTAAATACTTTTAATGTCATTAGATACAATTGTGTTTTAAGTAAGTGAATTATCTTAGGTTGAAATGTCTTCTTTTTGTAAATAGAAATATGGTCTTAAATTTGGCCATCTCTGTTTCATCTCTGCAGGAAGAATGCTTCTTGAACCTAGAGGCTCCTATATCCAGAGTATGTGGTTATGACACACCATTTCCACACATTTTTGAGCCATTTTACATCCCAGATAAATGGAAATGCTATGATGCCCTTCGAAAAATGATCAACTATTAACTACAAAGGTAGGTATGCCCTACATTTTGAGAAATCTAATGTGTACCCATAATGGATCAATAGTCATCAGAACCTTTTCTGGTTGGTTAAGTGAATGTTTTTAAAACATCACATAATAAATGATATTTTTTCATGGTGATTTTCTAACTCATACTTATCAACCCCTCAGCAGTGTTATTCTAACAAAAATTAATGCCATTATGAGTAATTAAGTTAGTTTTTCAGTTTCAATATAGAAATTGCTCTCACTGACGACCTGATTTTAAAATACTTCAAAGTGAGTGGGTAGGGTTAATGTACTTTACATTCCGGTATCTAAATTGTCCAAAAATAATAATACAGTTTGAAAAACTATGATTTTTCAAAAGAAAATAAGCTTTGTATAATAACATATCCTGTATGTTTTAAAAATTAGAAAAATGCTATGCTACTTGAATTCTGAATATGGCCTACAAAGTTAGCTCACCTAAAATCAGACAGAGATGTCTTTAGATTCATACAGATAAAAGAATATAACCCCCCCACACACACACCTGCCATTTCCGTAATCCCTCATTTTCTGTTTATGTTCTGAGCATGTTGGTATGGGTATAAGCCCTAACTTATAAGTTAGGGTTGTGAGATCACATATATCTCGTATTATTTCCAACATGTAGGTATAGAGGCTATATTTTTGGTGTCTACTTAGTGCACATGGAAGCAACTACCGTCTATAGTAAATTACACTTAGGATAGGTTAGAGAACTTCTTTTTGCTCTCTGTGTTGCTGCCTTAAAGGACCGCTCATGGAAAGTCAGGGTCATAATGGTGGCCACATGCCTTGTTGTTAGTAAACTAATATTTAGATGCTGGCTTTAAATTTGGATTACACATTTGTTTTTAAACATAGAATAGTGTTTAAATCTCTACTGAATATGATAGAATGGTGTTTCTATCCTAAAATTAAATGTATTAAAGAAAATAGGCCTGCATGCAACCAAGAATGTTTATCATTTTTATTCATTTCTTTTACAGAAAAATGGGATGATTGTGAGGAGACACAAGAATATTTTTCTGAATTTTTATATTTGCTCAGAGTAACCTCTTCTTGAAAAAGAGGTTTTATGAAATGAACTATCATGGATATTGGCTGAAAGTTATAAATTAATTATTGTATTAATACAAATGAATTGAATCACATTAAGTGTGTTTCAGCTTACTTTTTAAAAATGCTCCACAGGGTGATCTTATAAATTCTGTTTGATTACATTTGTTATCGGGTGTATATTGTATCTAATAAAGCAAAGTCACATTGTCTTCACGTTGTGTGTTTGTCTTTTTCCTTTAATACAATGGATTCTGGTTGAAGAGTAGTAGGTTGTTAACTTCTTAATTGAATCTGAAGTGAAATATCTACTCTAGAAATAGTGATTATTCAACTTTATTATATCTGGTTTAGTTCTGGTTTAGTTAGCCATAAGGCTAAAATGGTTGTGTACTGGCAAAACTTCTGGATTATTTATCTTTATCCATCTTGCCTCAGCAAGGTTTCGGATGAACAGCCTCGCTTCTCTAGAGTGCTGTAGGATCATATTATCCTGCTGCCTCCCTCTGTATCCCAGCAGATGGACCCCATGAGAGCATGATTCTGTTTGCTATCAAATTGCCAAGCTTTAGCTATAATTGTATTTTTTTTGCTGTGATGTTAAAGCACATATTTATTGTATGTTCTTTATATTATTGTGTACATAAGAAAAATGACAGCAGTGAAGACTTTGACAGGAGGAGCCTACTCATTGGAGACACTGCCAGAGCTTCCCTCTTCGTCCTCCACCATTCGCCATAGTTCTAGAAGGCTGGGACGTCCTCAGTGTTCCCATTGCAGAGTCCTTCATGCTTGGCCCAGCCCTTGGAGATGAAGTTGCTGTACCTAGCTTCCCCCACTTAATCTCAGAAGTGTTCCTCTCATAATGCCACCAGAAGTGACTACCCTAAAAGCAGCAAAACAGACCTGTCATGTTTTCTTTTATCCATGTACAATGAAGAAAACTGTCATCTTCTTATGATTACAAGTTTCTGTGAAACTATAATCTAAAAAGCTGTATCCTGTTTGTTTTCACCAGCAATTGGAGGAGGATACAGAAAGTAACATCTGTAGGCTGCCAGAAAGCTGGAGACAACGTTAGGGCATTTTATCACAGATTCTGGACTGGAATGGAATAAAATAATGAGCCAAATAATGGTTTGTTAAGGGTAAAAATGAAGCCCTGCCCTGGGATTAAAAACAAAAAAATCGGTAAAGTATAGGATAGGAAAAGATGTAGTTTGTCAGCCACAAGTTTGGAAAAGATTTAGGGAATCCAGTTGGCGTACTGCATAGGACATTCTGAGTTTAACATGCCAAAACTCAGTAAGGACCTTGGCTTTGGTCTTTCTTCTGCTCCAAAGGCTCAAGGCATCCTGTAGGAAACTCAGCCCTCACATTCTCAGGCCAGCAGAACAGGGGATATATGGCAGGCATCCCCAGCTTGGCCTGTGACGGGTCCTGGTTTAACATAATGATTGAGTTGAACTATTGTCTGGTTGATACTTATAATTTTAGTTGAACTTTTTATTATAAGTTATATTACCATTGTGTCATTTTAAATATTTTTCCTATATGTTGAGTATTTTCAGAATTTTCTCTTAGCTACTTGAATTCTTGTTTTTTAATTCTGTTTTTCAAATATCAGAAACTCTGGGGATGATCTGTATACCAAGAATCAGAGCCTGAGAGCATTTTGCTATCTCCACTTGGCACTGCCATTCCCACCAGTAAATGCCTGTTCCATTCCAAAATAAACAGTTACAGTTGAAACTAAAGTCTAAAGCTCAGTGCATACAGGTACATCTTCACTATGGTAAAGTATATATCTTTACATGAAACAAATGTCCCACCCATATTAAACAAGTAAGAAAAGCATGGCAAGAGATGTTAAGTGAATGCCCAGTCCAAATTCCTCCAGTATTTCCAATCACTGCATAATGTCTGCCCCATGACAATCCAGATAGATGAGCTAATTTCATTTTCTATAGTTCAAATTGTTCAATTATTTTAGAAAAATATAATGTGTATATTCTATGCACCTAATGGACACTTTCCCAGCTAAGTAAATAGACCAGTGTACATTAGAAAAATACACGAAGAATGAGATCGAGAAAGTAACCTCAATTCAGTCTACTAGGTTTAAATTATATCCCCTAGAAACACTTGGTGAGAATCTTTAGCAGAAGGTATACAGAAGGTAAATATTTGGCTTAAAGAAATCCTTTCTCTATAGCTTGCCTATAGTAGACACCTGTGGTTTCTGGCAGCCCAGTATCCCGGCCCCAACTATCTAGAAACAGCACTGAAGTTTGTATACAGAACTCCCTCTTCCCACCACATGTGGTCCTAGAGGGCCTGCCAATCCCAACTCCAGTATAGGACACAAAGATGACCCAGAATAGAAATCGGGTTATCACTGAAGAAACAAAAGTTTGTTAGCCTCAGCCTTGTCAATGACACCACCTTCTAAAACAATGGTTCTCAAAACTTTTTTTTCTCAGAAGAAAGTATTTTAATTATTATTCTCTAGCTATATACCAGTATAATATTCTGTCACAATTCTGAAAAGAGGCAGCAAACCTCAAGTTTTAGTCAAACATGTGACTGGGGGACAAGCAATGTATACTCCAGTATTTTTTTTTTTTTGCCAGCATTTTTAGAGACAAATATTCAATAAATTACATAAAATATTTAATTATTTTTAATAAAATAAACTTTATGTTGAAGATTTTACCCAACTGTAAGCTAATGTAATTTTTTCTGAACACTTTAAGTTAGGTTAGGCTAAGCTATTATATTCAATATCTTAAGTATATTAAATAAACATAATTATTTTAAATTTACTACAATCAGAATAAGACATCATTAAGTTAATCATCTGTGTTAACTCAACAAAATACTCTTCTGCCTGCTCCTTCTCAACACTGATGGATGATTCATTGTTTCTCTTGAATTATACTGATCCTTTCCTTGCATAGACAATGAATAGAAGCCATCCTAATTATTATCTATATTCACTGGTTCTCGAAACTTTTACCTGCTCCAGGCATAAGTGAAGTTACAACTGACCAAGATTAAGCAGTCAGCGGGGAGTTAGTTCAGTGGTTCCGCTGCCTGCCTTGCAAGCGCAAGGACCCGAGTTTAATCCCTGGTACAAACAAACAAACAAACAAATAAATAAATAAAAGGATTAAGCAGTCAGACATGCAGACCGCATTACCCTGAAGAGAGAGTAGTGCAGGAGTTTCTGGAAATGTGTGAGGTTTGGAGTCACAGATACAGTCCCCTGGGCCATCAGGATTGGAAAGCAATAGAAAACAAAATTTTTTTTTTTTGGTATTGGGGATTGAACTCGGGTCTTTGTGCTTGCAAGGCAGGCCACGCTGAGCTAAATCCCGGCCCACAATAGAAAATATTAATGTATGCGTAAAGACTTAGAAACCCTAGTAAGAACCTGGAAAATACCTCCATAAATATAAAAGATATTTACTAGAAAAATGACGTATAGAAAAAGTGTGGAAGTGAAAATGAAAACTATATGTATGTGTATGTTATATATGTAACTATAATCATATATATAGTTGCATAATTTCCATTTTCACTTCATTGTATACATAGTTCCTATTTTCACTTCCAGATGATTGAGCTGAAAGAATGTATACACACTTCAGGGAAAGATAGTATAATTGGTGTTTTTTTTTCCAAAGATGGTGTTACCCTCTTGTGGGGGACCCTAGAGGCACAGAAAATCCATTACACTTCCAGCCCTTAGAGAAACAATTTTAAATGTATGTGCAGCAATCTGGATGACCAGGGTCACCCAAGCAGCAGTTTGCCATACTAATAAATGTGTACGAGCTAATAGCCACCTCTTATATATATTATACATTATATGATACACAGTATATATAGTATAATATATATATTATGTATCCATATTGC